AAATGCCGAAATGGTTCGGAAGATGAATATGGGGAAAGCAAAAAAGAAAAGACGCATAACGCCGAAGAAGAAAAATAAATTACCATTGAAAATCTCTCATTGGAAAAAGTCAGCAAATACAATTTAGTACCTGGGAAAGAAACTAGAAGTTGATGAAATTATTGCAAGAAGGACAAAGCTTGATAGGTTTTGGACATCTTTCATGGATTCTATAATAAAAGATTACTTAGGAGCAGAGTTTTCATCCAATGTATAGATATCATCCATCCAGACTTATAGACACTTGCAATATAAACAATGTCGACAAACTATCTTAGACTCAAAGAACCATGGAACGGATAATGAATCTTTGACAAAAAACACTTGGATCAAAACGAGAACCAGTCAGGGGCATCAGGCTAGAGGACAACATAATAACGTATCAAAAGTTGGCTAAATGTAAAATGGAATTTCGTAGGAGACGTTCCAAAATACTCAGACCCTAAAGATAACAGATGGAAATCAGAACTAAAGCGATGGAAATAGGGGCATAGATCACGAGATGTGATGGATGATGGATCGACATGAATTATCCCTCCGTGTCGTTTCAGTACTGGGTTCTATTGAATTCTTGGAAACACTTCTATGTACATCTTTTTGGTTCCAAACAGTTGTTTATTCACCTACTTTAAATTACTGGTAAAGGTAGTGTAGTAGTCTTCAAATTATCTTCTTTTTTTTCCATTTGGATCAGTATTGTATTTGTGACTCAGAATAGGTTCTATGTCTGAATGAATAGGGTTGCTGTGAACTATCTTTTATGGATTAATATTACCATAGAAGTTATATTATTATTGATCGCTTTGGTTTAGGTAGGTTCATCTAATTTAAGCAAAAGAAGTCAAGAGTTTTCTGATCACTGGATAAGTCTATTTCAACCTTTCAAACAAATATGCCAATATAGACTCTCTCATCAGAATACAAAGATCTTCGAGTGTGTATATACTAATTTATTTCCAACACCAGAGAATATTCTGGAAAAAAATTCTATTGATGTAGGTACTATTGGTATCTACTACCTATCCATAAAAAATCCAGATTTCAGAAAACTTTAATAAGATGATACCGATAAAATGTACAAACCTTGAAATGGATATCCAGAAAAACAGGGTCGATGCATTATCCCAAAGTTGCCCGTCACTGTCATTTCTGCCTCCACTTTCGCGTTTTAATTTCAACTTTTGGTATACACAAAAATGTTCTATACTATATAGCACTTTTTATTGCAGATGTAAAATCCGTTTCGCGAAATAATCGTACCCACCAATTGGCACTGATCGTGTTACAAGTGGTACCAACTAAAATAAACTAACCCATAATTTTCTCACTTGGTAGAACTCTTGCGTTTCGACTTGCTATAGAGCTCCGCCCCATGGTTGTAATGGAAGGCGGAGCTTTCGGAAGAAAGTTATTATTATAACAAAAGGTTCTGGTGTGGGTGAATGAGAGATGGACGTTATATAGATAGGTGTGAGTTGGAGTGAGATGTGTGCTGTTATCAATGAGCTAGAAAAGGTAGATGGATGTTTGAGTTATCGATGTGAGGAGATATTTGAGAAACTAATTTTTAGGCTTGTTTGAATAGCGATTTTCAATCAATAATGAGTTCTTTAGATGATTAAAATCAAAATTTAGCTTGATATTCATGCTTAAACAAGATTGTTGAGTTGATGAAGCTCAAATGTGCATTATTCATTATTCACAAAAAATAATGATCAACCTGGATTTTTTAAATGATTATACCTATACCTATATTTATGAAACACAACATTGCCAGAAAACAGGCATGTTTGATTACCCACTAGTTCGTTAACTAGTCAGTGTTAGTTAACTAACCCAAACTTCAATGAATTTTTTTTCTGTGGATTTTGATGGGTCAATGCATAACATTACAAGTTATAATATAATCATGATTCATGCAGAATCAAAGCGAAAAAAATAACTATATATCATACTTATTTGTAAACTATGTATAACGATTGGCATTATCGCACTTCACAAATTTTTGAAGCATTTCTGCCACGAGAAGCTTCTAATATGACTTTCTAAACTGTCCCATTATCCGTCCTATTCAAAGCGCAATAAACCAGCCCTCAATAAATTAATAAAAATCCTGACTTCTTCATTCAAGGCCTGATTGCGACAGATTTATGAAAAATGGACGGTCCAGTTTATAGCCCCATCATTGGTTTGCATTATGGCCAGAATCTCACCAGCATGTCGAAAATTTATGGGGTGCGTTTAGTACCGGGAAATCGGTAGATACCCGAAAACGGACCGCAATAAAATAATAAAATTTCGAACTTTTTTTTGTTGTTGTAGCTGTTGAGAAATGGTCTGTTATGGAGGAATATGGCAGGCTTTTTGTTTTTTTTTTAATAACTTGTATTCTATGGATCATGAACATAGTAATGCGTGAAGTATGGAGGACGGTGGTGGTTCTCTGTTTCATATAATTTCAGGGATAAAGACGATTTTTTTTTTCAGGTTTGTATCCATTATTCTAAATACCTGAACATTAACCACAAAATAAATATTCGACAATAAAAATGTGAAATATTTAGTTCTCTGACAGCACATAAAGTCTTAAAGACGTCTTTTTCAGGTCTGCATATATGTCTGAACGTCTCTAGAAGACGTTGTTTCTATTTATTTAATTTCTCCAGGACACAAAATTATGCATATCTCAGAGACAACTATTTGGTACCTAACTACAACAGGCCTAAAAGTGAATAATGGTTTATGTATTGGAAAGAGATTCAAAGGCGTCTTCAGAAAGTCTTATTCCTAAAGACGTCTTTAGGCAAACGTCTGAAAGATTTTGGGTTTTGTAACATATGAGATTTTCAAGGTCGTAAGCAAAACGTCTCGAATGTTGTTTACGAACATCTTTTAGAGACGTCTTTAAGATGTCCACAAAAAATTCCCACATAATTCGTTTCTCGTGCAATTTAGAAGTTACTGGAAACCATTTAGAATGTTACAGAACACTTTAGAACTTTAATAATCCTTTTGGAAAGTTCAAAACACTTAAAATTCAATTTAGGATTTCCAAAAGCGGTTCAGAACATTTTTGGAAACTTCGGAACCAGTTTAGAACGCCCCAAAACATTCAAAAACCGATTTACAATTTCCAAAAGCATTTTAGAAGAATTCAGAACTTTGAAAATATTTGAACACTCTAGAATATCCAGGAACATTTTGAAAAGCACCAGAATCTTTGATTCAGGATAAAAGTTGCAAAATGCTTTCCAGAAGGCGTTTAGGAGCGAATTGAAATTGCTGTGATGTAGAACTTTAATGAACCTTTAAGAATCCAAAACAGTTCAAATCCAAATCAGAATTATGAGGAGCATTTTGGAACAATTTAGAAACTTCAGAGTTATTTTAAAACAATTAGCATTCAATTTAGAACTGGAAAGAATTTAGAACTCTTATGAACCAATTTAGAACACTTGGTAGCTTCAATGGTGTCACAACCTCTCTCTGACGAGGGGTGTAGGGTGTATACTGTATAGATGGAGAGAAACTCGCTCTGGTTATTATAAAAATATGTATATTTGCTATGAAGTTATTACATAAATCCTTCAGGATGCATGCTCTTCCGTGGATAGGACCACACGTTTGACGCTACTTAGGAATATCGGTTTTAATGCTAATGTTACGTTAAATTCTAATCGATGTTTAACTGATCCTCATCTAGAGGGGCTTTCCCAGGGTGGCGGTACTTGCACTTAGATGAATATCGGGCCCTTCTTTCCTGAGTAGGTAAGATGACAATAGCAGGGCTCTATAATACTTAAAAATCTGTCAGAACCAGAACAATTTAGAAAGTGCTTAAAAACTTCTAGAATGCTCCAGAACTCTTCAAGTCTAGTTATAACACTTTTATAACTCCAATAAGCCATTCAGAACGTTCCAAAACACTTTTCAGCAGCATTTTGAAAAATTTCAGAACGATTTGAAAACCCCAGAATTATTTCAGAGAGCCTATAGCGCCTGGAAAATGAGTAATACTAATGAAATATTGGTATTGAAGATGTCTTTAGGCAGACATCTGAAAGACGTTGGATTTTATAACATACGACGTCTTCAGGATGTCTGAAGACGCCTTGAAGACGTATGCAGGTGTCTTGATTGAATGTCGTTTGTGGACATTTTAGGGACATGTTCAAGATGTCTGTGTGCTGTCAAGGATTTGTAGATCTAGAGAATTCAAGCACCACATGGAACCTTAACTGCCGGTGGTATGTAAAATTTTATATACCTAACCCATATAGGAAAATTCGCAGCATTAATAACTTAACCCTAGGACTAGACATAACCTAGTTTCGAAAAAACAGGCCTTAAAGTCGATAATCGATCAGAATCAGCATTATGATAATTTCCGATACCAAATGAATTATTGTTATGCTCATTGTGCTCATAATACAGGGGCGGGTCAACTAGTTTTTCTCTCTTATAGCAAAATTTGAGAGACGAAATGGCGCTGTTTTTTACCCCTCAGTCAGGGATTGAAACGTAATTTTTGATTAACAAACATCTGACAAAATCAATGGGGCATACCATTTCTAGGTTATTTTCCCCACTTTCCTTTCCCAAATAAAATCTGCTTCACCATACTACAATACCAATCTCCAGCCACTCATAAAAAATGTGAATCGAAGGATGATTGTATTATTGAGAAAAAAGAATGAATCTAGAAGATTCGTAAGGAACAAAAAATTATTATTTAACTCTTCTACTTGAGAAACTGTAGTTCAATTTATAAACTATCAACTACAAAGATACGACGGTAGAGTAGATGTCCTTTGTCCTTCAGTACCTAGTTAAAGCAAACTTCTTCAATCTTCATATGCTTATTAACTTTTTAACTATGTAATAAGAATGGTATCTACATATCTTCTGCATTTTTAATTCACTTATTTTTGTTTGTAAAGTCATTATAAGCAATAACTTACCTCTCTTCACTCTTTGAAATACATTTAGATCTCTAGCACATGGGAATAATTAAGGGACAATTTCAGTTTGTATGTAACTACTTATACGTATATTTTTTTCAATTGCTGATCAGCGTCGTTGATTTTGAACACTCACATTTTTTATCGTTATTAAATCTTAAGTGCTTTTCAAAAATCAAGCAATGGGGAGATAAGGCATTTTGACACAAATGAAACCCAAACGAGATAATTTAATAATCTCAATGGGAATAAGAAATTCTATCTGAAATATTTCGAAATAGTTTGTTGTCTGCTGCTCTTTTGCAGATGAAAAACTTCATAGATAGATGCGCCCACTGGTTTATCCAGATACCAGATCGTCACCTAAATCCATCTATAAAAAAAATATCCCTAATACTACATACTTTTTATTGGATGAGGAAAGTAATGAGTATGGATAGCCAGAAATGGAAAAATATGGAAGACCCTTACATTCAAGAGTGTAAGAAGAAGATCCATTAACCATGTTTCAAGAGTTTGGCAAAGAAAAGTTGTAGATTGCATTTCGAGTCGTTATATAGCTTGTCCCAGTCACTCAATAAGCACTGCTTTCTTTCCATTTTATTCTAATTTGCGTGAATATTCTTCCTAATCTACCTAACTATATTCGACTTACATGAATCAGCAAAAGTTTTGAAAAATATTGAAGAAAACAAATCAAAATGATGAAAAGTTTCCTTCAAAGAAATCAAACAAGAAACAGAACTGGATAAACTAAAGCCAGAATTTTTCGAAATGAGGATGGCAAAAGCCAAAAATATGTTTGATGATCTTCTATCCCAGCGACCATATGTTTGACATGAAGGTAGGCAACTAGAATCCGGGTTGACAGGTACTACAAAATAATAGATGAAGTATATGAGCAGTTATCGTTTTCAAGGTATGAAAATGATCGAGAATATTAGGGCATTGCAGACCCAAAATTTATGTTCAATACCTCAGAAAAAACATTTGAGTTTGCTCGAAAAAGAAGTTTGTAGTTTTTGTTACATTGTGGGGCCTCGAGAGCCCTTGACGAAACAAAATACTCCTTTCTATAAACCGATTACTTTATGATCCAAATTCCAAGAAGCGAAGATGAAATGAGAAAACTTGTATTACAAATTATATAACAGATTATATTTTTTTTCTAAGGGTGTGTCGGTATTTACTAGGAAATAGAAATGGGTTTTGTCGTTTTGTTTTAATGACGCGCGTTTTAAATTAAATTAGCCGAAGCTGTCGGCGAGCTTTTACCGACGACCACAACCATTTTGTTACTTGATACCTAACACTCGTTAAAAACGGTTTTTGGACGCTTTGACGGCCCTTTGTACCGGGCCGACGATGGCGGGAAAAAATCATTAACTCAATAATGAATTCGGAACCGACTCATGTATTTGGTTTGTCTAGTTTATGTATTCACACTTTGTGGACAGAATAATATTTCAAATAAATAAACCGCAATGCAATTTATACTTCATCTTTCTATTGATATAGATTCTATAATACATCTTTTATCAGTAACAAGTGAAGCGATTAGCACAGAAAAATGTGATACAAGAAATTCCCACAAACCAATAGTTTTTCGCGTTCCTTGTCAAACACAATGGCAAGTTTTTTTTTTTTAATTTACTGCACGTACTTGTCCAGTTCTTGATTTTTTCAAGAAAAAATACCAGGTTACCAATAGTTTTTGTCGAGCATTAAGAACTCCAATCCGTAACTGAAAATCCTTTTGCAAAGATCAAACATCTAAAATACCAAAGAGCAAAAGTGACCGAGACACTTAAATTCAATCATCTATAAAATTTATTTAAACAGCATTCTCACAATGTGATGGTCGGTTATCCCCTGGTTCAGTTTTATACCATTTTTTGTACAACTCGATTGAAAAATTTAGCGGTACTTCTATAAAGTTGACCGTAGGTTCCCACGGCGCGTCGGCGTTGAAAATCACATCTTAAACGAAATTTTCCATCATCATCATCATCTTTTAGGATAAAAATAACATTGTAAACATGTAAAAAAGAAAGGGCGAAACTCAATGATCTGACTTCACCTGTAGACATAAATTTGGTATCTAAGCTGTTTGCAGATGAAACTTATTTTTCCCATGACATTTGAAGATCTTCCAGAAACCGTTTTGTAGAAATGAGACAAAACTAAAACTGTGCCTACATTAGCAAGTACGAAGTAGGTAGGCATATTATTATCACTATGAACTGTCGCATTTGTTAGTCTCCCCATGGTATATTGAACACCGCAGAAAGAATAGGACAACCAAAGACCAATTATTGATTGTTTGATTGTCTTTAGAATGCGTAGAGGTTCTCTTAGACTGACATGAAATATTAATGTTGATGTTGGGGCATATACCTCATCGATCTGATTAATAGGAATCCCTCTGACCTTGCTTGTTTTCTCAGGTCAGGGCAAAACAAAAATGGGTAATTTTATGCTCGTATCGTATCTCCAAAGGATGTTGTTTACAATAGTAGAAATGACGTACGATATAGGTATATACAGTGTGTCAGTGTGTCTACTTAAGTTCACAGCATATGGGAAACTTTTTTATTATCAATTTTACGAAGGAAAGTTATTCCTTATAAAAGTGCCTGCTTCTTGAAAAAATAATATTAAACTACTAAAACCTGGAATAGCATGTACAGGGTGGTCAAAAAATAGAAAAATATACAGGATGTTTCCTAAGTACGGTTCGTAACTCCAGTATGTGATTCCTTACAATATTTTAAGAAAAAAAGTTCCCATAAACATGTGTCCGAAAATGCGTAGTTTCTGAGATAGAGAGTGTCAAATCTTCAGAAAAATCGTTTTTTTTTTAGCTCAAAAATCCCTTTTCCAATTTTTTTTTTCAAATTTGGCAGGTTTGTTTGTGATAACGAAAGGTATCTTTTGCCTGTAATATGACTCGCATAATCTGAAAAAAATATCAAAGGTTTTAAAAAATAGTGACGTGCCATTTTTTTTCTACTTTTACCAAAAAACCCTGTATATTTCTCTATTTTCTAACTACCCTGTACATACATGCTATTTCATGTTTCAATAGTTTGATACTATTTTTTCAAGAAGCAGAAAGTTTTATAAGGAATAACTATTTTTCATAAAATTCATAATGAAAAAGTTTCCCGCTGCGAACTTAAGTGGACACACTGTATACAGGGTGTTTCACGAACATCGAAACAGAGGCGTTTTGGTTTGGGGTATTTTAAGGTCGATTTAAGAAAAACGCTCAGACACGTCAATTTTGTATTCAAGGGGGAAGCTTTTTGACCCCATCGGTATTTCGTTAGGGTGCACCCCCTGGTTGGGGTGACTTTCACTCCTCTTTTTTAGATAGGGAAAGTGTGTCCAGTGGTACCTTGTTTTATAGTTATTTTCCTAACAAGTGCGCAAAGTGTTACTTTTCCGCACGCAAACACAGTTATACGAACGACGCGAAGCGGAGTTCGGATACGTGTTTGCGTGCGGAAAAGACACTTTGCGCACGTGTTAGGAACAAAATTTTTCCTACGAGCTTCATATCAGGTAGGTAACAACAAAAATTTAAAAAAAAAAACGATAATTTGTTTAATTATTTTTAATTAACTTGAAGGGAACCTATGCATTTATCAAAAAATTACATAACAAAAAAAAAATATAACAGAAAATCATCGTCAGAGCTCTTCATCTTAAAGCGTTTAATGGCGATTTCCATTTGTCATCAGTGCCGCACTGAGTGCATCCGCATCTTTTTCTAAAAGCATGTAACATGTAAGGATAAGGATACATTTTTTTGCCCTGTTTCGACAAATGGAAAATGCTATAAATTTGATGAGAAAGTTTGTAGATGCATATATATAGAAAACAAATCTGACAATGTGTTGAAGTTAATTAAATTTGGTGTTTGTAGGTATAGATGTTAGCTGGAACAGGAACAGAGGAAAAATTTGTCATCATGTGTCAAAGTCGACAGGTGTACTTATTGTTGCTTGACAATTATTTTTACTTTTCGGCACTCAGTGCGGATAAGGCCTGTATCCGCACTGAGTGCGGAAAAGTGCAACTTTGAGAACCGAAATGCGTGCGGAAAAGTACTACTTTGCGCACGCTCGTAGGAAAAAGGTATTTTGATTCTCGTCACAACTGTGTACTTTTTTTGCACATCGAATGAATAGTTCTCAAGATATTTACTGTCAAAGTTGTCATAGGCTAAAAAGAAACAATCTTCTGGCCCTGTTATTCTCAAATTTCCTTTCGGACACGTCACTTTCAATTTTTTCGGAAGCACACAAAAAAAGAAAATTGACGTGTTCGAGAGGAAAGTTAGGAAAGTGGTACCTAAGTTGAGAATAACAAGGCCAGAAGATTGTTTCCTATTCAGCCCATGGCAACTTTGAGAGTCAATATATTGAGAATTAATGATTCGATTTTCAAAAAAAGCACAGAGTTGGGACGAGAATCAAAATACCTTTTAAACAAGGTGCCACTCGATCCATCTTCCCTATCTAAAAAAAAAGGGGTGATAGTCACCCCACCCAGGGTGCACTCTAGCGAAATACCGATGGGTCAAAAAGTTTCCCCCTTGAATACAAAATTGACGTGTCCGAGCGACCTTAAAATACCCCATGCAGCTTTTTTTAGCAGTCGCCATAATGCGCAAATATCACGTGAGAACGTGGGTACAGGATGTTCGTGAAACACCCTGTATATGTAATTTAATATAGCTAAAAAAATGAAGATAAATATAAGTTATTAATGAAAAACAGATTTTATTACCAAACATCAGAAAGACAAAAAAGGACATTAAAAGTTTTAAATGCCGAAAAAAACTCGTAAAAACGACGTGATGATGACATAAAAAATACGTCAAATTGGCGTGGGAAAAAGGTACCTACCCACTTCTTAGTACTTAAAATTTCAAGCCTATGAAGTTTTTGATCCAATTATCATTCAAAATAGATTAGAAAGTAAGCAACCACAAACTCAAAAGCTAAATTTTGATAGAAATTCTAAATATCTGCTAAATTTAGTGAAAGGTGAAAGT